AACATCATTTAAAAAATACAGCGTAAAAAAAATGTCATGACAAGGTCTGGAACTCTATCCCAAAGGATATCAGATTGTCACCTTCCCTGAGCTGTTTCAATTCTAGAATTCAAAACCTTCTTTTTCGGGAGACCTGTTACCTGGCTAGTTCTCATTTTTATAGTCATTGCGTATTTTTCTTTTTTGTTTTGTACTGTAAAGCGCTTTTAACGGCGCTATATAAAAATAATGTTGATTATTAAGTGGTTCGTAGAGGAGCACCGCCCAGAACTCACCTGTCGCCCAGGTAAAGTCATGACGTCTTCTGTAAGGTCATGTCGTAAAAGGAAGCAGGAAGGCGAGACTCTGCGGAGGGGGGTGAACCGAAGGAATTTAGTTCGCTCAAAACCAGGAAGTTACAGAAAGCCTTCGTTTTCGGCTTTGAAAGACAGGCGAAGTGTTCAAGAGACAGAAACACTGAACTTGCTCTCGAGGGAGGCGGTGGTCTTTCGTCTTTCATAATGGAAAACAAAATGGTACGTCTGATCGGTTAAAGTTATACGTTACTTGTGTTTTCGTCATTTTCTTGATCCTCAAATTTACGTATGCGTTTTTTTTCCTCCTAAGATAATGGGGTTGTAGCCGTTGTATGGACTGGAGGGGTATTCGATGTTTGTTTACATCTTTAGTGAAGCTTAAGACACGTGATTCTTTTAGTAACAGTTTATTTTTTGGTTGTCAAACACTGAGTGTTGTGAAGTCAACTTTTAAAAGTTTTCTTTTGTTCCTTGTACGGATTAGAAAGAGCCGTGCAAACTGTTGTACGCGGAAGGGCGCTTAACTTGGTTACAGTGGAGTCGGTTCTATGCTACTGTACGAGACTGAACAATGAAAAATTATGGTGTGTGTATATATATAGTTTGATGAAATGTGAATATTCGTATTCGCAGTTTTAAAGCACTTTGGGGTTGACTTTTTCGTCGTCAAAATACCAGAGTGTTACAATTTAATTTTAGACTTTCCGGAAACATGTTTATGTCAAACATTATTATTATTATTATTATTATTATTATTATTATTATTATTCGGTCACGTATTTAAGTTACTGAAATATAATTTCTGTAGTGTAGTATCATATTGTGTTTTGTAGCGACACGAGTCCCCCACTTAAAGTAACGCAGGAATTGAGCCGAAACTACAGTGAGCGACATAAATCTTTCTTTGGATCAATACAATTCGTGCAAGAATGTTAAACAAGATACTGTATTATTCACTGATATTAGGCTGTTGCAAAACTTTACTTTTGTTCTTATCATCTGACTTATAGTTGCTGTTGCAAAACTTAACCTAATCCTCTTATCAAACTAGTTATCGTTTTTGCGGTTTCCTAAGGAAATCGTACTTTTCCTTTAACCTCTTACTTAACTAATTTGAGGAACAAAATTGAGCCAACCGTTTCATTTTGGAATGGCCTTCTCGTCTTTGGTCAGATTCTTGCGGTGGCAGTAAATACCAGTTAAAACGCTTCACAGAGAAATGATGTCGTGAGGCCCAGCAAGAAAACACAGGAAACATGTTTATTCCTCTCATCAAGTAAACCGTCTTTCACCTTTCTTTACTGTTTACTGTTTTAAAAAATACATTTTTTTTAGTTGAATTGGATGCATGGGGAAGAAATGATACGGCTATGATGCAAAATATATGGTAATCCTAACGCTTTCTGAAGATCAGAAAAATCCGGAAACTAATTTTCATATGGTGCAAATCAATGATGATTTGTCGATGCTACTTGGTGTGTTCACTTCCAGTGTCCATTATCCAAAGGTTAATTTTTATTATACTCAATATGGGAAATATGTTTTTTCTTAAAAGACAAGCCTTTAAACCACTCTGTAAGAAGTCAGTCATGTTTTTTTTATCAGTAAGGTGATTCTTGTCTTTGCAAGAGCTTTCTTTCTTTCTTTTTGTGTCGCTTATCTCTCTGCTGTCCAAACACACGTGTTGTGATTCACATTTTGCTGTTCCAGGGAGGTTGTGTAAAAAAAAAAACAGTCTTCCAGCAAGTTACGGGGTTTCATTTGGAAAATATTTCTGCCCGAAGAGAGGCTTAAAAATGTTCTTGAGTTTTTTTAGCACTTCAAATACTGAGAGAGACTTGTGAAGACAGCTCACACACCAGTTGTGTGAAAAGACGTTTTGGCTCTTATCTCGCACAGAGCTCCTGTTGGAGACCTTGAGAGGGGTTTGGTTTGGTTCTCACAGGGGGTGAAGAGGCATCAGCAGTTTTCCATCATTGCTTGAGAACAGTCTGCAGAAGAATGGAAAGCTGAACCCTGAATTCATTCAGGATGCATTCAGCTGACATTGGATCTCTGTTTAAAAGAGAGTTGCTCCTTAATTTTTGCTTTTTCACTATCTGAAATGTTTGTGGTTTACATTTTGTGCACTGTACTGTATGTTTATAAGAAATGTCTGAATGAGCTGGTGAGCCTGTAAGCACACTAATCTTGCCTTAGAAGTGTGACGTGAAGAGTCTGTAACAGTGTGGTGGCCCACCTCTTGGATCTTTAACAGATCATTAAATCCAAATAGGAGAAAAGATCACATGCAGCTGCTCAGACATGGGTTCAAATGGATCTGCAAACATTGTTCACATAGTGTTGAGATTGTGCCCACCAATCACATTCCCAATACAACAACATAATCATACTTTCACATCAAACTCACTGGTTCTACTACTTTTAAATTGTTACCTTCAGAGTTTGGGAAGACCATCAGCAGGTGAATTATAATATTCGATGGATGTTTTCTAGGGGAAGTGTGCTTGGCAAGCCTAACCGTGGCAAAATAGGGAATACCAGTTTTTAAACTACTTGAAGAGTTTGAAAAAAATCAGTTTGAACCCCTATTGGCAAATGATACCTTCACCACACACATTGCTGTTCACCAATATTGTGTTTTACAGCCAGTAGTTCTAGTAACAGCACTAGTATTGGCACTCTACAATCTACACAAACCTTAGTTTTAAACAGTTGTGAATAAGACTGAGTTTCTAAGTGCAACCCTGTCTGTTCATTTTCAAAGGGCTTAATGCCACGGTCAACCATCCCTGTTCTTGGAAAGCCACAAAGACTTGGGTTTTATTTATCAGAGCCCTTAATAAATCTGACCCAAGCGTTCCAGCTACTTAACACCTAATGATATATGGACAAACCTGTATAACAAAACACGGGGTTGTCTTTCTCCAGGACTGGCCACACCTGCTTTATACTATACCAAAAGAAAATAGTGAGGGAAAAAATAATCAGTGCTGTGGAGCAGAAGAATGCTGGGTTGAAATCCATCTGCATGAGGAGAGCTGATGGAGATTTCAGATGTACAGCTGCTTTTCTATGCTCTGGAGGAGTATTAGGCCCAGCGGAGCAACAGTCAGGGTTGGCTCTCTCCTTGTTTGTGTTCTGGCAGAGCAGGTTAGCGAGTGTCACTGGGGAGGCGAGGCTGTGCTGACAGAAGCACACAACACCCTGGTCTCTAGGATACGGCCTGTTCCCTTCTCACTGAGATCGTCTGGGGATGGGCCTTTCCCACTGGCTTTAGAAACATCCTTCCTAATTCTGTAGATCAATTGCTTTTCTCCAGCATGGCCAGGCCAATAAGATATCAAGCAGTCCATCTGCAGTGCACACGAGCCATGAGTTCCTCATATTTTCACTCCAATGTAAGGTGATCCCTTGATAAAAACTGTTAATCTTCTCCTTTTTCTCCTTCACTACTCTTGCTTTCTGGAATTTTACAGGCAATTAGTCTCTCATATTCATATATATTAAACACTGGATTTCAAGGACCTGGGATTAAATCAAACTTTCAACCTAATATGTGATGTGTTTCCATTAACATTCACAAATGAAGAAGGCTCTTCTTTCTTTTCTTTACGTTTCAGCATGGAATGAACCTATACGCGTTTCCATTAAGCAGATGCAAGAAGCTTCTGTCAGATATACAGTTGCTGTCCACTGGAATTTGCTGTAGGCAGTGTTGAAGGTGTGATGTAGTTTGTGTGTAACGTGCCCCTGTCTGGGGAGTGGCGCTGTGTGGCTCTGAAGTCAGAGGTGCTTGTAGCTAGTACCATACTAAACACTGTGATATGAATAGTAGGTTTCAAACTGTTGACTTGCTTCATTTTCTTTTAAAAGCACCTTAAGGATCAAAATGATTTGAGGACAGAGCTTGGGTAGGTCAAACACAGACTCTAGACTCTAGTGCGTCTCTGCTTGCTCTGGGGTTTGACAGTCCTGCTCTAAACCACCCACTCCTGTCTCTGTGCTGGTGGCAGGAGCAGGGAGCCATAAAGGTTGGTGAATCTCGGGTCAAGACTCTGCAGAGCGAAGTGAATGGAGTCAAGGAGATCATGACCAAGAACGTGGAGCGCATCCTGGAGCGCGGAGAGAGGCTGGATGATCTGATGGGCAAGACCGAGGACCTGCAGGCTGACGTGAGTCTCCCCTCCTCATCTGTCACTCTGTTTTCCTCACTCGATTTTTTGTTTAATGTGCTCTCTCAGTCTCGCTCTGGACTTTCAGTCTCTTTTAGCCATGTGCTTTGCTTTCATCCTCCATAGGATCTGAGGTCTGGACAGAGAACTGTCTTTTCCCAGTGGTTGTTTCTGGGGCCTTGTAACACCATTCTCACCTTCTGCAGTCTTACCGCCTCCATCCTTCATTCCATTATTCTGCTTTTATTCCTTTTGCTACTTTCTCTCCTCACTCTCTGGTAGTCCCACATGATGGAAGGAGAATGAGTTCTCATTCATTTTGTATTTTCTTCCATTGTCTTCCTTCCTATGTCCCCCTCCCTTCTTTTCTCTCATACTCCCCTCTTCTCTTTCATTCTTTCTCTTCCTCCCTCCCCCATCTCGTATGCTCCTCACTCTTCAGCTCTGCTTCTCTCTTTCTTCGATTCCCGGCCTCCCCCGTTCTGACTCTTATTGTCGATCCTCCCTTCCTGTCCCCGTAGGCCCAGCACTTCAAGCACACCTCTACGAAGGTGGCCCGATCGTACTGGTGGAAGAACGTCAAGATGATCATATGCATCGTTGTTGTCGTTGTCATCATCATCCTCATCATCATCCTGTTGGCCACGGGGGTCATCCCCACCTCGAGCTCCAAACCTTCTCCCTGAGTCCTCACTGCCTGTACGGCCTGGAGGTTTTTCTCACTCCACACACACACGCCATGTCCCTCCGAGCTCCCCACTAACCTCTGGCCACTTGTATTTTTTTGTTTGTTTGACAGAGGAGTGAGCTGAAGTATTTGAAATTGTGATAATTGAAAAGGAAAAGGGAGTGAGCCATTTTCTCTGTAAATGGTGCACCCCTGTACTCCTACTCAACCTGTGTGTGCCCCTTGATTTACACAATCTAACACATCCCTGCCCCCCCTTGCATCTCAGACAGGTTCGATGATGACTGCTCAGTCTGGAGCTGACCTGCCTGCTGTATGCCACCTGTACTAACACATCAGTTCACTAGAGGGCATTATATCCTCCAATTTGGAACTCACCCATTTTGATGTAGGAGTTTTTTTGCCATTATGTTTCCTCCCTTATTTATTTAACCACATTTATATATACAGGTAGGACTATTCAAGTACTGTGTGTACATCACAGACCATTACAAATACTCACAACTTGGTTATATGAATATTTTTTTCTGAAGTAAGCAAGATCATTAATTCAGATCTTACAGACTTAAGAATTATTGTATACATGTCAGTGTATATATATATTTTTTTCTTGGGTAAACAGATATAGAGTTTACTATAGTATTAGTTTGTGCAAATGTTATGAAAATTCATTTTCACAGTGTTTTCCCAGACATTCTGTAGGCATGCATGCCTGCACCGTGATTAAGAAAACCAGTTCTGTTTTCTGGAAGGAACCTTTTTTTAGCTAGGAGAACAATGTTACAAGAATGTCCCTGAGCCTGAGTAATTTTGCTCAGGCTCACAACTGGACATATTAGTTTAAATTACATTTATAGTCAACAAATGTTGGCAGTTACCTGGGCAGTGTCCTAATCAAAGTTTGATTGTAGAGAAATATACTTCAAAAATCTGTCCACCTAAGTTACATGGACAGAGGGTCTTTAATAACGAATAGTTAGAGGTGGCACTTTAATGTTACACATAAGCTGGAATCTGGGAAGCAATGTGTTTTTTCCCATTCCAAATATGGAAAAGTCGCTTTGCATTATGAACTAATAATGTATACCTTTTCCATTTATTCCTACCCTAAAATGGCTGTTTAGGACTAACTTTATGTCTTTTTCTGCCTTCATTATATTCTAATTCGGTGGTGATTTACTTAACCGTACAGTACTTCAGGAGTTGAAGAGTGAACAGTAACCTGTAAATTATTAGCTGCACCTTATCAAAGTGAAGTATTTCAATTCATATCAACAGACTACTGCTGCTTGAGCTATAGTCTGTTTCTCCTGTTTGCACCAGAGTTGTCTAGGTTTCTGGGTCCACTTTCAACTTGTTCAAAGGTAAGGTGTGGCACTCAGTTTTGGAACCAGGTTTTTTACCCAAGATATTTTTGAATAAAAAAATAAATTTTCTTGGCTATTGTTCTACCATCATGCCAGAAATGGTATTTTAACTGTTTTGATAAGAACTTCTAAAGATACATCACCAGCAGAAGTGCTGCAATGACTGTTTGACATTAGAGTTGAAATGGTGAGATGGAACCTGTGATGCTAGTTCTGAGTAACCAAGCGATATCTAACACTTGTATATTGTTAATGTTATGTTACTCCACTGTCTGTTCATTGCAGAAATAATTATAAGATACCTCCTATAACCCTGTTACTGGCCATGTGCACAAAAACTTTCTTTAAAAGATTTTTTAATGCTTTGAATCATTAAATGCATTTTTTCTCTCATTTGTGTCTCTGGGTTAAAATCTGTTCAATTAAAGAATTTATTTTAGGATGTAAAAAAAAATATTTTAGAACAGTTAGTGTTCTGAAAAGAAATGAAAAATGTAACCCTTGAAAACTGTGCCCTGGGTTTAATTAAAGTGAACAGAATCGAATGCATGTTGAATTATATGCAATGAGATTTGTCAATCTTTGGGTGATCCATCCACAGAGTCCACAATAGAAAGTTATTGTGTGTGTGCAATATGTAGCCGTAAGCTACATGTTGTGTGCAATATGGGAATAGCTCGCTTCAGTAATATTGATGATTTAGAACAGCTGGGTTAAAATTGTCAGTATTCCTCCCAAATTTCAGTTAAGAATATTAATTTACTATGTGTTAAGATATAATTATTTATCAAATATATTTTCCTCATTGTGTATAATTAATTCTTTTCTCGAAGTAGGCTATGTAAAATCTTTCACAGTAATTGCAAGGACTGTACTCGCACATTACAAAAGCCAAGGAATTAATTTACAGTAACTGGCTGCAAAAAGATTCAAGTCAGCTGCCATGGGTCTTCCAGGGCAGTCTAAGCCAAAGTGCGCATTACTCTTTGTATGGTGTGTGTGTCCTAAGGAAAGTTATGAGAGTCATCATAGGTCAAAGGGTACAGCTTTCTTTGCAAGAAAACCAACATCACCAAAATGAACCTCTTCACTGGAAATTTGATCTCGAACAGCCGTTTTCCCACAGGCTGTTCTCAGGTTGATTTAAGTAGCCAATAAGATTTGTGAGATTTGGTTAACAAATTAACTTGTTCTCATTAAGCAAATAGGCTAATACTGGGTTTTGGGGTGTTATGCAATTAACTCAATTTAAACTTGAGAAGATGCATAACCCTAAACATACTGTGATTCTCCAATGAGGCAGTAAAGTAGTTAACTTAGACAATCAAACTGTACATATTCTTAATAACTTTTTATCCGTATACTGTGTGTAGAAAAATTAAAATGGTAGAACAGGTAAGATAGTTTTATTTTGATTATTTTCCTGCATGTATTAAACTAGAATAAGACTGTCAATGCTTCATCAGCATATCATATAATCAAAGCCATGCAACACAACTATAAAATCTTCATAGGTTAAAAATGGCATTTTAAAGATATTTTGAAGTGTCGGTTCCAAATTAGAAACCACTCATTTCATCTACTAATGCCACCGAAAGCTAGTGATGTGGTGTAGTCATTCATGTTAGAAATGAATGACTGAGGGTGACGTCGGCAGTACCGGTAATTAATCACAAGAGGGAGACATTAAATGTAAACATCAAGACTGAAGTTACTGATTCTTTAAAGAATGAAATCTATAAAATAGTTGAGCAATTCTGAACTAAAATTAAGTGGAAAAAATATGTATTTTTCCTGTCTCCGTTTTGGTCTGTCCCTTATCTTCTGTTCTAAATATGCAACTACTGTATTGCAGAAAGGGGAAAGGTTAATTAAATTGCGTTATCAACAAGACTTCTGTGATTTTATTTGCTAATCTTTTGCAACTCTCTCGGACGATAGCACTCGACATCTCTGTGGTTCGCAACGGAGGAACTAACAAATATTAGCTTAAACACATGTCTGTTTTGCTTCCGTGGTTAAATCCAGGCCTTTGTCATTAGGTTTTACCATTTCAGAGTTTAAGGAAGTCATGCCTGCAGGTGTTCAAATGAAGAGCTGTGTTATTTAAAGATAGCACTACTAGTAACTGCTGAGAGGAACTGAATCAAGAATCACTTCGTTTTCCGGTTGTCTTCAAGCTTTTCTATACGAAATAGTTGTAAGTGAGGTGAATTTTATTGAAGGTGATATATATCTCACTAAATTAAACTTGCCGGTGCAAAGCATAACACTTTAGCACAACACAGCTCATGTAGTTAATTGTGAATGACTACAGTGCATCTAGTTACTGTATGTGTACATGACTAATCCTAGTTCAGTACATGTGACTACTGTCCATTTAGTCGTGTGTACATAACTACAGTCCTATAGTACTTCATTGTAGATGACTACAGTCCTTGCAGTTATTTTTACATGTATGTACTAGTTCTGTACATATGATTGAGTGGTCAGTAAGGAAGGACCACATGCACAAACACCTCTGAAACTCGCTTATCTGCACTGATGATGAAACTAGTGATGGCAGAAGCGGAAGGAATTGTGAGGGCTTCAGGAAAGATTTTGTCTGCATACGTAGAAAAAATATCTATGGGGCAGCACCTCACAGTGCAAACAAGACAATGACCCATGCAATGTGATCGAGTACCAAACAGTTCATCGGGATAAAACGTAGAAATTCTTAAACTGGCCAAATCCAGGATAAAATGTTTGCCTGGAGTGATCCCAAAATAAAACGTATGTTGTCTTTACGAATTATATTAATCTCACCTACGATACTGCCCTAATAATTCTGGAGGGAACTGTATGTACATTAGTCAGTATCGGTTCACTATCTAATTTATTATGCTTTATTTCAGATTACATATTATTATTATTTCAGATTACAAACATACAGATTTACTAGCATTGTTTATATAAAAATATATAATATAGTATCATATATATAATATTGCTGCTGTGGCTTCACCGCTCTAGAGACACTAAGGGAAATTAGGGCGGACTTTTTTTCAAACCACAATGTATGACTTGAGTTTTTTCCAGTTTTTTTCTCCACGGCTTTTGACAGCCAGGAACTGCTGAGCAGTTTCTGACCGACAAAGCGAAGGAAGAAAAAACAACTTCCACATCCCGAAGTCTCGAAAACAGCTGCCTCGCGTTTTTTTTTCTCTTCTTCTTCTTCTCGAGACACATCTGTGTCTTAAATACTCTCGACACTTTTTGCCGACCCCTGAGTAAAATATAAACGTAAAAACCAGTCTCCGCAGGCCTCCACCCCCAGTCTTGTGGGTGGTGTTTTGAATGCCAGTCATCCAGAGATAGGGAGAAAGAGAAAGGACACGGTGGAAGCGAAAGGGCCTAAGGACGAATTCGTCGAGGGACGTAGAGCTGAGGTTGAAGTGTGTTCATCAAAAAATAAACTTGAACAATAGCAGAAGGTTGTTGTTTTTTTTCCCTTTCCTCCGGGAGCGACTTTGGACGCAACCCGACTTCGTCGTAGGCTGACGTTTTTTGTTCCATTCAGGCAGGAATAGGACTGTCAGAATGGTAAGTAGCCTACAAAGAAGAAAATAGTACAAAACCCCTCAGATCTCTTGTCCAGGCTTTGATAGTGTGTGTATTGGCGATCAGCCCAATTTCCGTTGCCCATTGCAGTTCCTTAAAGCTCCGTTTTTGGGCCGCTCTTTGTTTTTGAACTATGTTATGGTTCGCTGTGCTTTTACTTTCATTAGCTACAGGCCTCGCTGTTTGGGCTGAAATACTGTTTGATAAATGCTGTAAATATACTCGCGAAAATATCATTTCGGACACGCACCCTGTTAAATGTATAGATAAAGCTGAAATATACGGGGACTTGCAAGGGAATAAAGTTGAAAAGAATCGCAAAGCCTGACTTTTGAAAGTCAAACGTTGTTACACAAAACGGAATGCAGTTTTTTTTTTAATTTGGCATTTGTAAGTGGGTCCCTGCTGTCGCACACGCCCCTGTTTCGGTCTCGAGGTGAAGCAACCGTGTTTTTCCATTCTTGAAAATGACCCATATCAGTGTAAACACTGCAAACCAAGGTACAAAGTTTTGTGTCAGTTTATCTGTACGCAGCGAAAAGGGGAAGACGTAATAAATTAAAGAGACAAACACCACATGGCGAAAACTGATGTTCAGTAACCTGCAGTTGCTTTTCTGTCCGATTTCTTAGGGTGTCCTTTTAAAAAGTTAAAGCGTTCAGCGGTCCAGTTCTGTATCCCCGTATTATCCCGCATCCCACTGTTTTCTCAAAGTGAACTCGGTGGCTTTACTGCCTTTAAAATGCACCAAAGTTGATGTAATAACCTCCGAAAATGGTGATGCATGTATCCGCGATCATCTTTGTGGTTGCACACATTAATACAATTAATGGAAGACATTTAAACACGTTTTCCATCAGATAGCTGCAATGCCTGGCTTTCTACTCTAGGTGGCGCCAAAGAATTACAGCCTTTGAGGATTCAGGTCCACGCGAGTGGCCTCAAAATGACCAGAGCAGTGATAACCTTCCAGGCGGTTCCTTATAGACCTTGAAACCTGAGTGAACATCAGAAACGGGTTAATAAAACGTGACTACCTGTAATTTGTAGGAAAAAAACAACTACACAGGCTGGGTTCATCTGTGCATGCAGTTTATACAAGCGCGTTCAAAAAAAGTCACAGACGAACGGTAAATGAAAGAAACAAAGTAAGGCATATACTTTGAAATGGTTTTACGGGCTCTAATTAACACGGTCCTGGGCGTGCCTATCTCATTTAACATGAAGTAGTCCAAAATTAGTGATAATCAAGAGTCTGGAACTCTTGCTTTAAGATAGAAAAGTACTATTATGACCAACTGTGCTTGTAGCTCTAGGGATTACAAGGACTGGAGAATTGCTCATGTAAAACCAATCCCACTGAACCAAGTAATTATAGACCAATAAGTCTGACTGTTAAATATAAGATGGTTATGGAAACAATTATTAGAACTAAACTTGAGGATAACCTATTTGGAAATAATATCTTAGGAGTTAGTCAACACGGATAGAGTTATTTTACCAAACAACAAGTGTAATACACACACAGGGCATATGATACATTGTATTTAGAGTTTCAGAAGACTTTTGATAGTTTGTCAAACTAATTAATTTATAAATTGCAGACGATGGCCATTGGGTTGACAATTAGTCATTAAAGAGAAAACAGAAGGTACTACAGATAGCGAGGGATATTACAACTGGGGTGATGTAATTTAGTTCTTCTTCTCCACAATTTGTGGAAGCAAAAAAGCAAACAAAGCTAACAGTTTAAACTTTTTTAAATGTTAAAATTGTATAATGTGCTTGTAAGGCCTCATTTATAATGCAGTGTACAATTCTGGTCATCCTGTTACAGCAAAGATATTCTGTTCTGGGGCTGAAGGCAGTGTTCTGAAGGAGCTGAAGCTTTTTAATGTGGAGAAGACCACAAGGATGATAACACTGTATCATTGATAAAAGTATTCAAAATCCTCAAAGGCATTGACAATATCAACCAAGTCAATTTATTCAGAAAGAACAGTGAAACTCAAACCACTGGACACAGAAGCCGTTACTCTTGCTTCTTTCAAGAAATGGCTGGATGAGGTGCTTGGATCAATTAGCTACTAATTACCAATCAATGCAGATGAGCTTGATTGAAAAACATTCTTAGGCTCTCATCTGCCTGTGGTGATTTGATAACATTTCCTGTGCGGTGTGGCTGGTAGTTCTTCTGGTAAGAACAGCCTGCTTCCCAGAAAGGCATCAGACTTGTTCCAACAAGCAACTGTGTAAGAAGAATGCATTATTACATGTTATGTTTTAGACTTGATATTTTTATCTGTTGGAAAAGAATATTAAGTCAGGCATTGCCAATAAAGCTTTAAACTTTTGCTACTGTGTGCTAGAAGGGTGTCCATTCCTGACCCCAAAGAAATCATGCCCAGCAGGTCTTCTGGATAGGACCTGGAATTTTTCTTCACCACCTGATCTTCAGGACTCCTACCCTGTAGTTCATTTATTGGCTTGTAGGTGTTCGTGTAGGCACACTATCACAGCTATCCCCAGGAGAACAGCATAGAAGCTGTGATTATGTATGTGATCCATGTTGCAGTACAGAAATCCTTATCCACAGCACAGTATCCTTCAGCCTTTTTCCTTGTTGTCTCAGGGGGACAGTGGGAACTCCATGCTCCAGGAAACCCAGGAACAGGCGGAGGAGGTGAAGGTCATCATGCTGGAGAACTACAACAAGGCTCAGGAGCGACACGGAAAGTTGGAGGATCTGGAGGACAGGTCCAACATGCTGCTTGAGAAGGTGATTGCAGGGTAACTGGGGTGTATAGGCAGACTGCATGGTGAGAGATAGAAGTATTATCTGGAATGGGTCTTGCAAACAGTGCAGGAAGACTTACCTGTTCAAGCTCTACAGTTTTTGCATCACCAGCAGGTTCAAGATTAAATGATGGTTTCTGATAGACCGGTAGGAGGCACTTTTCCCTCAAGACCAGAATTTCCAATCAGCGCCCCAGTAAAGTGATTAATGTCATAGCCAGTGGTTTAAGATGGAACTAAGCAGCAGTTTGATATGTAAGGCAAACCCAGGTACAGGGTGAGAGAGAAACAAAACAGGGAAGCTGCAAGCAATGTGGTGTGTTAGCAGGCTGGAGACTTTGGCAGAGCATGATGCAGGCAAACACAGTCCAGGGTCTGGGGTCAAAAACAAAGCATGATTAAAAGCTCAACAAAGATGGAAGCACAGCACTGTGAAAGCACGAAGGCAATTCCACAATCATAGTCAAGAAAAGCAGGCAAGGCTCACAGCATGAGAATACACAGTTCCAAGGCACAATGGGTAAAATCCAGAGTCAGGGTGAAGCTAGGGTTGAATATGCTGGGAGAAACAAGCAAGAACACAAAAACAAAGCCTGGCAGTGAAGCAAGGTTTAGAGATAAACTTTACAACAGAGCCCTCCAGCATTGTCCGAGCAGAACTCAAATATTCAGATCCACCAGAGGCTGGAGTGGTGTTACATCGCCCACAGGTGATTCAGGATTCTTGTCAGTATGCATTTCAATGGAAACCAGCACTGACTGACAGGTGATTAGGTGTGGCTGGCTGCCATGGCAAACACTAGCTGGCTTCACAGTGCTCCAGGAGGAGGTGCACCTCCAGAAGGTGCAAGTAATATATGTGGTAGGTAAATTTACATTTTGTGTTGATTCTGCAGCTGCTCATTCACTGCTGTGTGAATGCAGGAGCCTGGGAAGACACAGGTGTTGCCAAGAGGACTCTGGTGAATTCATTCCCACCTAATTTGACTGTGTTCTGTCATTTAACAGCTGATGTCCCTGTTCCTTTCCAGAGCAAAGGGTTCAGCAAGACCACTGGCAAAGTGGTGCAGAAGAAGCGCTGGGAGCACATTAAGATGAAGCTGTTGTTGGTGTTCATCGTGGTCTTAGTGCTAGCTATCATCATCGGGGTGGCTGCAGTCATGGCCTCGAGCCCGGGCTCAAGCTTGAGCTCCAGCTCCACCTCCATCAAAACATCGGTGCCCCAGGTGACAGTCCCTACACCTGTAATACCCGAAGAAGAGACATAGGCAAATTGTCTTCACGAAACAGAATCTCGGGGAGGAGAGCGAGGGTGAAGAGAAAAAGTACAGTAAGCCTCCACCCATACCCTCCTGGGGACAGCCTACAGGATTTCACAGACTTTAGACTTTAGGAAGGGAGCAGAGTCCAGGAGAGGCCTGTGGGAGCCGTACCGCCCATGGCAAGCAACTCTGCAGTATCTAGCCTCACAACGGTACAGCTTCTTCGGCACCACTCGTTAATCTCAGCTCGTGGCTCCGCCATGTTTTTGATAAGGCCAGACTTTGGATTGCAGGTGAAGTGGCCCAGGCTGCCTTCTAGCTCCAGAAGTTCAGAATTTGTTTCCAGAGGGCAGCAACGTCCAATATGATGCCTTCCAATAGGAGATCTCATTCTGTCCCCAACATTTCTGAAATTCTGAAATATACTATGTCAAACATTTTGAGATACCGATTTAACCTGCATATGTCTGCACACATAGGCTTAGTATAATTCAGAAGAAGCCAATCTTTCCCTTGTTTTGCTTAAGAAACCAAGAATATTTCTTTTGCCTTTTTCTAAATGCCTCTTGCTGTAAAACAGCATCTAGTTGAAGTTAGTGATTACATTTCTAACCCAGGAATGATAACACAAGCACCTTGTTGATATCAGATTTGTTTTCATAGGAACTTTGGATGTTTTTTTTTAATAGACAGAAATGGTTTATTCATCAGTGGAAAAGTTTCTTGTTCTCAACATAAAAATAAGTTTCCTATGACACATGCATCTATTTAAATGCACATACAGGGACACATTCTCTGTGGAACGGCGTGCGGGCAAATATATGCTCCATTCAAACTTAGTCCACATTGCTAATGTGTCATCTTTTTATTTCCATGCAGTGATATTTGCATCTTCTATTATAATTTCTGACTGCATTTAGAATTGCAGATTGTTTTAAGTCTCAGAGGTGCGACTGGCATACTCCTGAGGTGTCTGCCTGTCAGAGCCATTTCTGATTTGAATGCTTCGAGCTCCACAGTGACCGACAGGAGAGTTGTCTCCAACTTTTTAAAAACTGTACAGGGCTGGTATGAACCATACTAAATGTGAAAAATATTCATTCATTTTTATTTTTTTTTACATATTTACTCATAAAATGTTAATAACTACTGAAATATTTTGCTCTCTGGGAGCACGTTTTGTCTGAGGAACTGCATAATTTCTTTTCCACGTAAGTTCTTTTACTGTTTAAAACATTTAAACCATCGCGGAAGATACCATTTAAACACTTGAGACATACAGTATGAGGGAATCCAAACAAGTGGTGGTTAGTCATGTCTTTCCCTTTAAGCATTACTCTTAATACTAATTTTCAAAATGTCTCCTTCCAAATGCCTGAAAATGACAGGTATCACCTGAAACTGATGTATCACAATTACAGTGTTACCTGCCAGATCTGACACAAGTGAAAACATATGTGTTCCTAGATTTTTAATCGATTTATGTTTCTAACCATGTTACACATTCTCTAAGTATCATACAATGTGATATGTGTGAAAAATACATCGTTACTACATAGATCTTAACATATAAAATACATATGATAGCCAAAGGGTTATTTTATACTGGCTTCTAAAAACATTTTCATGTGTTACTGTTCTATTGATCTAAATTCCGGAAATGTAATAAATATTTATCAGGTTTACTTTTCATTGTGACGATTGCCAGATATGAGGTGATATAAACATCATGTTGTATGTTATTGCTCAATGAAATACCAAACCCCTGACCAGGTAATTCTATAAAATAAATCCTTGTGTGGTTTTGAGTGTCTACATAAGGTTATACAGTACATGTAGCAGTATAGTCTAATGCCTTTTAGTGATAATGCTCTAGCACATGTGATTTGGGATTGTGGAACAGTAACACAAGAAGCTGCAAATTTACTGCCTCCTTAAGGCTACTATCGTGGAAATGTGCCTCATTACCCTTAATGTACAGTACCTTTAATGTAGCCAAAGATCATGAAGTTCAGCACAGACCTTAAAGTAAATTTTACTGAAATACAGTGATGAATTCTGTTTGGGTTTCTTGTTAATAAATGAACAATAGAAGGTAGCAACAAAGTGCCAGTTTTTGGCTATCTTACTAAATTTAACCATCTGATCTTGAAAAGTTTTAAAAAAGTAATGTACAACCATGTTTTCAATTTTGGGTCGTTTTGTTATTCACTAGAAGAAGTTTGTTTTTCACTAGAGTCCAATTAAACAACAAAAAAATATTTTGACAGTTGTTTTAAATTAATACTCTAGGCCAATGTAATTTTAAAGGAAATTATTTAATGGAGGTTTGGATGATTTACAATGTGTATATGTGAAAATACAAACGTGTTCAAAATCCAGTCACAAAAATACTTGTGTATATTTTAGTTTTGTCATATTTAGATGGATGTGTACTGTATATACACATTGCACTTTACATGTATATATATACAGTATGCAGAAGTCAATACACAAATAAATTTCATGTTATAGATTCATTTTATGGTGTGACATTTTGTACATAAGTATACTGAATTGTGAATCAAATATAAAGGAAGATAATTCACACATTAGTGGATTATTTATAATTCTGTCTTTCAGGTTGCTGATCCACAGATAGATTATATTGGCCAGTGTTCAGCTAACAAAAAACATTTTCTTACACATCTTATGCCATTACTTTCATAAATATGGTGCTGGTGATTTAATTGATCATACTTTTTATCAGCAAAACTGTATGCTCATGTGTACTGTACCTTCACTTTTCCAGGTCACAGATAAACCATGGAATTGATTAAATAAGGTCATACTCGTGCGTTGTACAGTTTCAGATATTTTAACTGGTGTATGCAGATGTTGGTTATCATTTCCTGCATAAATCTAGGAACATGAAACAAAATGGACTGTAAAATAATGCGTGAAAGAAGTATTTGAGATTTTTCAGAATTCTTACCTGAAGGAAACCTCATGTCATGTTGCACATTTATATAATATTATATATAATGGTATATCATACTCTAATAAAATAATAGCGTGGCTCTGACTTTGACTTTATTCACTGGAAGAGGATATTTCTAGTGATGTGAAACTTTGTGAATTTTCAAATTCCCATGGTATACATAAAACTAAATGAGCTTATAGTCTTTCATTTACGGTACCTATGAGCCTCTCAAACAAACTAGCTTCGGCCTCCGCCTACCTCCGATTGGTAGCTTTAACACCGGCTTGATAATTGATTGGATATATTCGAGTTGAGACTTTAGTTTGAGCCAATCCTAAACCTGCTTTCAGTTTCCGTCCAACTTAATCTGTCGATTCATGCTGGACAAGCTTTTTGAAAATATTTCTTTTTTTAATGAAAACGTAGCCAGACGTCTTTGTATTTATCGTTTTATTTTTCCCTGAAAATGTTGAAGTGTCATGATTCCTAGCAGCTTCAGCCCGGACAGTGATCTTAAATGACCACATTTAAAAAGCAACGGATTTAATTGAACATCCGTATTGCAGTTGCCGTTCCTTAAAAACAATTTTTGTATAATCGGCGGCTTCAGCTCGGGTCCTAGAAGAAACTTGCATTACAGAGGAGTACGGAGAAGCATATTTTAAAGGTACGTATTGTGTTGTCTTTATTCTGTTCTTTTAACTGAACCAAAACAAGCACAAAAAATAATGTATACAAATGTTTCCTCTGTATTGATTTTGGTTCGAGTTATCACGTCACCTGAGATCAGGAAAAACGTGTCGTTTCTTGGTTGTGGAGTTCTGCCTTTCATCACTCACTTTCATCGTCAGACGTGACCGTATCCAGGCTGAGCAGCTGGTCACCCGTGGACATGGCTTCGTACTTCGACGAGCACGACTGTGAGCCCACGAACCCGGAGGAGCAGTACCGGCAGAACGCGTTGCTCGAACTGGCCAGGTGTCTGTTGTGACCTGCACCGCACATGACTCCCGGGAACATTAACTCGTTTTAATCCGTAGCCGTGGCCACTATGCGCAGAGGCTGTGCCAATGGATGGGCCAGGCCAGGGGCGTGCTGGTTCAACACTCTTTAAATCAATCTTGTGAGAGATGAGAGCAAGGGAGGGCTTCGACCTGTCCAATTAAACAAAATGGCCGGGCCAATTAGGTAATTAGGGGCTCAGGTAAAAGGAAAACCTTAAACCTAGCTCTCCAGGATGGGAGTTGTGCCACCCTTGATCTGTTGGATTTAATTGTGAGCAAAGTTTTCCTTCTTCTTTCTGCCTTTCTACTTATCTTTGCTCTCCTACCAGTTTCTGCCTGGTCTTCTAATCTCAGTGTTTAGAACGCAAGTTTGGTCACCTGTCTTTTAGTCTCTCAAGGGTTTCCAGTATTTAATGATATATCTCATGCCTCAGGGAGGGGACACACTGGGGTACAAGGTCTCAGCCTCAGTCCAGCAGGTTTTACAAGAGAGCTCTGTCCTTCTGTCGCATTCATTAGGATCTAACCAAACTACTGAAAATGTATTGGCATGCCTCTCAATACCAGGAATTGGTTACTGGTTACTGTAGGGTAATAGCCAGACTCAAAGCAATGTATTAAAGTGAAACTCTCTGAGCCCTGCTCCTTGGCCTGCAACCTGTAGTGGTTGTTTTTTTATGGGAGTTTCCCTCTGAGTGCTTTAGGAGTCTTAGCTGTAAGGGAGAAGTGGCTGTGTTCCTGCTGCTGATGTGGTCCTCTGTGTCGTGTCACGGCAGGTCTCTGATACAGGGCATGGATATTGATCTGAGCCCTGATGTCTTCTCAGAGTGGAACCAGCAGCTCCCCCCTCCTGCTGCCAGGCAGGTGGTGCAGAGCCTGCCCACGGTCATCATCTCCCCCGAGCAGGCAGGTGAGCTGGACGGCACCGAGCCCAGCCAGGCTGGATCACGGCCCGTGGCCTCAGCCTTGGGTGGCTCTGCTGCAGCCCTGCTTTTCGAGCACATCTTTTCTTCTCTGTCCACAGGGGTTTGTCCACTGTCCACTGTGTTTGTCTGTTGTCGAGAGTGTCCACTGCTTGTCTGTTGTCGAGTGGGGTCTGTCACTCAAAATCACAAGTCACTTTACTACTACGTTACTGTTACCACAGAACACCAAAACCGACACATGTATGCTCACTATTTATTTAACAGTCACGTGCCACCCTTTAAAATACAATCTGCAGTCGGTGTGTCTTTAGTAGACCCCTTTTTGGCCAAATGTATTAATTTTCCCCCCAAGTGTAGGATTTATTAATCATTAGTAATCATATTTATTTAAAATACCATTACTGTTGTTCTGTTGAAAAAATATTGTTAGATGTTCAGTTCAAGAACAGGAGGAAACAACTGTGTGGCCAACATGTGTCAGCTGGTGATCTGCAGGGTTGAAATAAGAGTTAGACAGACTCTGGGATTAGGGGATCATGCTCTGCTTGAGGACTGAGGATGTATAAACCACTCAGTGGCTGAGATTTGAAATGAAAAGCAGCTCAACTTATTTCCTAATTAGTTTCTAATTGAGTTTGTGTTTTTAAGAGAAACTGGACAGGCCGAAGGCAGGGATATGTGAAAAAACAAATAGCATAATGTGATGCACGTTGCATTAAAAAAAATAGTGTGCTGACTTGTTAAGTGTATTTGCAAAATGTACCGTTGGTAGAAAATATTCTGTGTTTTTTAATGTTTGCCCTAGCATAGTCGTCCAGTGGTGTCTGATTGCTGGTCTCTTTCTCGGATCTGCCGCAGACAGGGGGCTGAAGTGCCCAGTGTGCCTGCTGGAGTTTGAGGAGGAGGAGACAGTAAGGAAGATGCCCTGTCAGCATCTGTTCCACTCCGGCTGCATTATGCCTTGGCTGGGGAAGGTGAGAGACATTCGCTGTCACGCTCAGAAATCCCCTCAGCTACACTCAGTCAGAAGATACCGCACGACATCTCCCTGTACTCCGTTTCTGTTCACTTCCCAGGGCTGTCGTTCTAGTGAATAGGTCAATAGGTGAGCCTTACAGGCACAGAAGAGCATACGAGACAGAAAAAACTGGGTCTACACTCTGTACCTAATGTGAAGGGAGGAATTCTTCATTGTTTTTTAGTCCCGTGTCTAGGTGTGCAGGGCTTTACAGTAACATCTATGTATCGATTTTCTAGCCTTTTTATCGGCTTCAAGGTTGTGGGGACGTCGGAGCCTATACCAGCACACAACGACTGCAAGACAGGATAAACCCTGGTCAGGACACCAGTCCATCACAGGGTAGACAGGCACAAACCCACACACACTCACACCAGGGCCAGTTTTCCTAGAAGCCAGTTACCAGCATGTCTTTTTATTTTGGAAGGAAACGAGAGCCCCCAGAGGAAACCTATGCAAACATCTAAACTCCTTGTACAATCATATGTATTAAAATGTATTATTTACAAAAATATATCGGAAGAATTTGGACTACATTTGCCAGCGAGAAAAAAACTCTCATAGCCAGCTTGTGAGCCCACTCTGCAATCTGTAGCACTAAATGAACAGGACGATTAAGAAACCTTGTCATTTTATTACATATGCTAGGAGCTTTGGAAACAGAGATTCAGGGAGCTAAAAAAGACGGTCATCTGGAATTAATGAAAAATATTAACTTTGTATTGTGGGAGGGAAACGGAGCACCTGATCACATGAAGGCAGGGAGAACATACAGACTCCACACAGACAGCACCCCAGGAATTGAACCCAGGGCCTCAGCTCTGCGAGGCAGCAATGTTAACCACTGCTCCTGAGAGTAACATGTTCAATCTTTTTTTTTTTCTAGACAAACTCTTGCCCCGTGTGCCGCCACGAGCTGCCCACAGACAACCAGGAGTACGAGGAGTTCAGAAAAGAAAAGGTGAGAGCCTGCTGATCCGACAGCAAGTCCATCCGCGTGCTGGGTTTAGATTTCACCTCCCAGATGTTTAAGCAAATAATATTGGAATCCAGCGGGTGTCCTCTGGGTAAAACAAAAAGATCTAGTCATTTTTCTTTTCTCCGCACAATGACTCCAGTTCAAACCACGGACATTTGGGAGGCCAGTCTTTGACTCTACTGACCTCTCCCAAGACCACATTCTTAGCTGCTCAGTTAGAGGTTAGAGATCCTGCAATTTGTCTGGTATAAAGTGATAAAGCTGACGGGTCACTGGAGGGAGAATGAAATGCAGTTTGTTGAGTCTAAGGGTGTGGTGCCAGCTGTTTATTACTTCAGAATGTATTTTCCCCAGCCAGAGCTGGGTTCTCTTGTTCGCTGTGCTATGTCGTGTAATGTGCACTGGGCTGTCTTTCAGGAGCGGATGAAACAGCGCAAGCACAGGCTGGACAATCTACATGGGGCCATGTACACATGAGGGAGCTCCAGAGTCCGTTCACACACAGCTGAACATCTGCTGCACCTTACTACAAATCATTGCTTTTTTATTTTACCAATGTCTTGCTTTATTACCATTCAATACTGATTTTGGCGGAGGATGAGAAGACGACATTTTAGTGTCAAGAGACTAAACTTGAAGGAATGTTCATGTTGTATTCTCAATTAGCTTTTATGTCAAATTAAATTCTTGGTAGTTTTCTGCAGCAAGGAATATGGATTTGGCCCATTTCGTACTGTGGAATGGGTCTGTAGTGGCGTTTTTAATGGCAAAAGATTAAAGACACAAATCCTTTTTACAGCCTATTGTTTTTCAGTCCAGAACAATAAATAATCTACCTCTATATTCACTATATATTCCATAGATTAAACTGAACCCATCTTGAAGATGCCTTTCTCTGCTGATGTTCTCTAAATGCACTGTAGCTTGACCCTGTAATGTATGGATGTAATCTGTGATGCATTCTGGTACTTGTAGTCCAGTCACATTGGAGGTGGAAGAAGGTGCCTTACTAACTCCAGTAGAAACCTCTCTCTCCCTATACAATGAAGGATGAGCTCCTTGATTCTGGTTACCCGGAGGTCACCAGTTCCTCTCTGTGCTGTGTTGCACACGGACTTCTTTATGAGGCTATCTCTGCAACTTTAGTAAAAGTGAACAAGCTGGCAATGTCATCATTAAAGTGGCTTGCCTGGGAGATAAAGACACACTTTGAAATGAAGTTGTGGCTCCAGCAGCACATGTGTTATTTTAAATGTATAAGTTCAAGTTTAGAGCAGTGGAGTGTAAAACTGCAGTCCACAAGGGCCACAGGAAACTCGTCATTTAATTTTGCTCCGTTCTTTAGCACAGTGCTTGAGACGTTATTTTTCTTAACAGAAACAGTTTAACCTGCAGCAGTTCATTCCATACCGAAAAGCAGAAAATACACCTTTTGGCTGGAGAGCCTTCCTCAGGTGTATGATGTTGTGGTAGCTTGGGGCCCCTGAAAGTTGGAATCCCTGGCTAGCCCCAGAGTGAGAGTGAGAGGTGTCCTGCACGGAGATCTCGAATGTGGGAATGAGTGAGCGCCTTTCGTTCCCCCAGGAAAGGGCAGCAGGGTCAGTAATTCAGTCATCAGTTCCAATCTGGGCAGAACACCAGAAAAAGTATCAATGTATCAATGCTAACAGTGGCTCAGGTCTTCAGTCAGCTTATGGAACAACTTGGAGTGTGTAACGTACAATTTCCAGAGAAGGAATAAGAAAACAGACCATTCACTAACAACCAAAGGCAAGAGACTGTTCCATGTCTGGACTGTCTGACATTCAAATACTTTCATTCCTCAAGTTAAGAAATTTGTAATTAGATCCTATTCTAGAAATTGTGAATTTCTGTATTTTCCTTTTTACATATAAATTAAATATGTTTCAGATTTCAAGTGGCGTGCTGTGTTGTCCTAGGAATTAAGCACAAATTCCTTCATATTGTATTCTGGAGTTTCAGGTCTAGTAATCACTAGCTTGGGAATTCCTCCAGCAGGCCAATAGATGATTACAAGAACGTTAAATGTAAAAATATGAGGTGTGTCTCTCTGTTTTATACCTCGAAGTGACTTGAAGACTGTTGATGTTGAGAAGAAGGCACATTGCCTAGCACTTCATTATAAACACAACAAATATGAATACTATCCCCATTCATTCAAACTTTGCCTTTACGAATCATGGTCTCCTAATAAGCCACATCTCTGAACTGGCTTCATCACTCTGTTCTCCCCCTGACTGCTAGCTGGTGTGGGGTGAGTGTACTGGCACTGTTGCATCATCCAGGTGGGGCTGCACGTTGGTGGTGGTGGAGAGGAGTCTCCATTATCTATAAAGCACTTTGAAGGGTGCATCCAGAAAAGACCTATATTAGTGTAATTACTTATTAATACATTCACTGGATTCTAAAATAAAATTCACCCTTTTAAGAGGCATTTAGTGACTTAAGTATGTAAAAAGCATTTGACAAACACTGCAGCAGTTATGATTTTCTTGAGTGTTTCAGTGGTTTCAGTTCTGCTCCTCAGTGAGACAACTTCTGAGGCAATAATTTTAATCAGCAATTATATGGATGTTTAATGTGTTCATCCTTCTCTCGCCAAGGCTTTGTTTAAATCTGTAACACAACCTTGCGGATTTCATGAATATGTAACAGTGCTGAGAAAAGTTTCTTTTGAAAAGAAATCTAGTACAGTTAAAGTGACTTGCATAAGTGACACTAAAATTGAAAAATAAATCAAAGCTGGGGGGAATAAATTTAAAAAGGCAGCAGTAAGAGCAATCTAGCAAATTTGGTTAAAGTAACCATATTAGGCAAGTTTTCCCACCTAAAAAATAAACAGCATGAAACTCGTACACTAGCACAAGTATATGAAGACTTGCAATCAGGCAGTTTGCTGCTCTGGTCTTAGTAGGTTTTTTTTTCCACTGAAAGCTCTTGACATGTTCATAACACTGTCCACCATCAACCTCGAAACCCGAAGAGATGCTCAACTACCAAAGGACTGCACAAGTTAGAGCTGATGTTTACCAAACAGCTGCATTAACATAATAATTAACTGGTTGTAGCAAAGTGCTACAATGGAATGGATTCTCCTACATGAGAATGGATTTGTTGGCAAAAAAAAAAGTATGTTAATTAAAACCACATAATGATGAGCTTCCAAGCTCTTTTTTCAACTACCTCCCTTCAGAGCGTGGGAAAAATTCCACAAACTGGATTTCACTTGGTTGGAATAACCAATTGTTTTTACATGTTACAACCCCAAGGGAAGAAGGACCTGCAGATATGCTCATCCTCCAGCACACTTGCCTACTAAGCTTCTCACCTTTTGACGTCGTTAAAGCTCCGCAGTTCCTTACGGGAGTCAGCACTGGAAGAACCGTCACAGCTCTTATGGATGCAATTACAAGATTGCAGATCTGACAAGTCACAGGAATTGCCATTTTCCTAAAATCACTCACCAATTACTCTAGCAGTTGTGCACCGCAGTTCAGGGAATCACAAGTCTCCACTGCCATAGCATAGGGCAACAGTCAATGATATGTGGGCCAAGGGCTCAAACCTGCATGCCGAGTAAGTGCTAGCAGTGCATTGGCTTAAGAAGGACCTGCAACTACAAACAACCTGCCACTAGTGGCCGCTAAAGGGTCTCTAAACTATTGTAAATAGCCACATTGGGTGTTAATTATTTCTGATGGATGTAAAGTGTGCATGGTGTAGTTGGGTTTGTTAACAGTCAAGGGAAGTAAAATCTTTTATTAGAAGCCTTGGAAAAAACTACAGTAAAGCCTCCTGGACTTCAGGTCAGTGGTCATTGTGTGTTTTGGGAATAGGGCAGAGTCAGTCATAGACCCTTTTCTCCCAGTTAGACTGCTTCCTGACTAAAATCTCCATGGCAGTAAGGACAGAGCTTCAACTTTTCAGTATCCGGCTGGACTGTCACTGGGGCTGATAGTTTTGTCTCTTTGAGCGGATTCTGTTCTCCTACAAAGAATCTTGTTTTTCCATTCTGTTATTTTAAGTGTTTGCCAAAAATGGACCCACAAATCTACTGCTTGCAAAAAAATGCACCACTCCCCAAATTGTTTTAAAATGATCTGGAACAACCAGAACTTTAATAATAATCAGAATCCTTGATTTCATTTTATATATAAATTTGAACAAAAAGATCATTAAAAAGAATACATAAATTGTAATTATGCCTGCTATTATAAAAGAAAAAATAGTCTTTACAGTCTCAATCAAAAATATTTATATTTTTTTGGATGTCTGTGCTACCATCACCTCACCCCTGCCAAACCAAACATCCATGCAATTCCTTTTAAGTTGTAAATGATTGCCACTGTAACTGATTTTACTGAAGAACCTTTATCTTATTGTATATTTAGTGTGAATCTTCAATAAATACAACAATAAGGTTTGCAAATGAGGAGGCTATTCAACCCATCTAGCTCATTTGGAAATGATTAAGCAGTCCCAAAATCCATCTTTTTACCTTGCTGCCAATTAACGTTTGCCACTGTAAGTACAGACGGGTTGTCTGTAAGACTACTTCTTCTTATGAAAATCAGGGTTGAATACAGGCACATTTATTTTTCTCCTCCTTTGCAAATCATTTTGACAAAACTAGAAGGCGGGAAACTTTAAGAAGAGAGGACACATCAGTCAATTGTTGGATTAAGTGTAAAATTAAACGGTTTAATATTGCTCTGGTTTTACACGTGTCCCCAAGACACAAAGAGGAATTGTAGATAAGGCCCATCTGACTCGTCTGCTCAACATACTGTAAGTGTTAGTAGTCAAAAACGATAATAGAGACAACGCATTGCTTGATTGCAACTTAAAAGGAGAAGCAGACTGGCGCTGCATCCATACCAAAAACACCCAGATCCTCACTCTATCTTCAGCTTCTCTCTCCCACCCTTAAAGGCAGTGGTGATGGGCAGTGTAGATCTCTCCCAAACAGCAGTGCTGTTCAACACAAAGAGGACCAGAAGCTCTTTGCTCTTCATGAGCCATTCTTATTCTCATGACATGCAGGAACAAATGCATGGTGTGGCATGGTGACAGCAATTTTATCACGTTCCGGGGAAAAGATTGGTGGGGAATTCTGTTTCACATAAACATTTTGCCTCTGGGATCCTCAGCACAAAATCATGTTTTTGTTTTTCTGCAACGTGGTAATGAGAATCCCATAGGCAAAATACGGATGTGAGACATGAACAGCAGAGCTAAGAGTTAAGAGAAAGGTGAAAGAAATCATAGGGAACTGCAGTGGCCTTTTGTCATAAAACCATCTTCACTTCAGTCAGACCTTACGGCACTTTCAGCAGGGGGGAAATAAAAGAGTTCAAGAGAAGACTAGGTGGAAATTCTCCACAACCCGAGCAATTCTGAAACCCAGGTATTCCGAGATAAAAGGTTTGAGATGTGAGAGAGAACCAGAAACTAGAGTGCTGGAGTGGTGTTAGTCAATAACATGGTGCCTCTGTAATACAGGCCCACAATCCAGTTAGGCTGTGTTCAGCCAGGCAGTTACACATCTTACTGTTCAGCACAAGACAAGAAAATTAAGTACAAAGCCATTTGTGCACCATCGCATCATGTTAAGCAATTGCGAACTGATAACAGCCTTTTGCCATTTTTTTTTAAAACAAAAATATGAATGTACAGTATTGGCCGAATTGTTTTCCTCTAATAACAACACAGCACAACTGTCAGGATGTGCTCTTTTTCAGTACGTATTTGGCACAAGCTGCAGTCAGAGAGTGTAGTGTGTTTTTTAAAAAGATGACTGCTGCAATGAAATGTCTGTGTCGGTGTGCAGCCAGTTGACTGCTGGAGATGCTTGGCTGAACTGATCGTTTAAGGCTTTGGCACATCTGAACCTTCACTATTCAAACACCACTGGACCACATTAGTCAGTGCCTGGTCTTTTCCTTAGGGCGGAAAGGAAGATAAATGAGTCACCGTCCCACTGCTTTGTGTTCTAATTAGGGCTTTCACTTGTTCTTGTTTTTGTTTTTAAACAGCAGTCTTTTTGCTATGCCAGTTCTGTAAAACAGCAGCCATTATGCAGAGTAGGCTATGGTAAGCATAACGCTTACCATAGCCTACTCTGCCCCCACACACATTAATAATGCTCAGAGGTAAGGCCCATGAGGGATGAACAGAAGCAAGAGTCAAGGAAACAGAAGCATGTCTGGGGTGGATCTTTGTACTACACCTCAACACACAGGCCTCTCCTCACAGGTCTGGAGAGACTTTCAGGTGTTACATTCTACAGCAGGGCACAACCGAAAGAACCAACAAGTAAAAAAAAAAATATTCAAAGTTGTATTATAAACGTAGTGATTTGACAATTACTCAACAAACTGAACTCTCTCAGAAACAGGACGTAGATAAGTGCTGTGGTCACGTGGTAGGGACCTCTGACCCCAGAGAGATGTAGGGGTATTTTCCAAGAACTGGCAAAGCAATGCCATGGGGCAGTTTCATTAATGAATTCTTCCGGGACCTTAATTGATTTAGGCTCAAATTTAAAAATTTGAAACAAAAAGAACCAGTCAAAGAGGATCCCAGAATCAAACAGGACCCACAAAATTTCACAGTCCACTCAGTCCAGCGCTAGAACTGGGTCACTAAATGTCCACTGCAGTGGTGTGTGTGTGGGAGCTCGCACCGAGCACCTGAAAACAGGCAACAGGATGGTCACAGCTACCCTTCGCCAAGAGCCAACGTTTCTGCACGAGCTCAGCTGGTCAATATACTGCCCCGCCCCCCCACACCAGCTGGCCAATAAACTGCCCCGGGCTGCCCCGCCCCCACACACTGGCTGGCCAATATACTGCCCCGCCCCCACACACCGGCTGGCCAA